AAAGACAAAAAAAAAATACATTTTCATAGTTTAAGGATGAAAAAGTATGAAAAATAATTTAGATACTAAAAATATTCAAAATTAAAAGTTTCAGATGCCAAAAATGATATTTAATCTCTTTTTCTTTTTTCATACCAAAAATTGGTTTTAAACAAAAGCAAAAATAGGAAAGGAGATTATATAATTTTAATTTTAATTTAATAGTTAATTAAATTATGACCCCTAAATTATCTAAATTTGAAATGTTCTCATTGAATTAAAAATAATAATTAATTGTAAAATTGATATCTCAACCTTTAAATTTATTTAAGGTAAAAAAAAAAAAAGACTTTATTTTTGTTCTTAATAGCTTTTCTTTGTAATTGTTAATTTATAAAGAAAAATATTTTTATAGCTAGGGACAAAGCCAAAAAAATAATCTTAGGAGGCCGAAGTACTATTTGAAATGTATACATAAAAATAAATTTCTTAACTTGTAAATAATATTAAAACTTAAATATATAAAAACTAAAATTTTAAGAACCTTAAATATAAAAAAATTAAAATAATTTTTTACGTATTTAAATTTTAATTCAAAACACAATTTTTATTACAAAATATTTCTCAATATGATTCCAATAGTAAGACTAAATGTTCTAAGAAATTGCTACTACTAATTTCAAGTCAAATTATAGCATAACAACAAGCATGTCAAATAAATAAAAATATTTTGATTAAATGCTAATTTTGGTCCCTTAAATTTGGGCTTTTGTATAGTTTTCTTTCCTCAACTTTTTTATGCACTTTTTTGGTTCATCAATTATGAAAAAAATACACTTTTTTTAGTTTTTCCATCAGTTAGTTCGTTAAGTTTGTTTATATGTGTACATTTTTAGTCTTTGAACTTTTAAATTGAGGGATACAAATTGTGTAAAATCCTAAAGTTAAGAGATTAAAAATGTAGATATATGAATAGACTTAATAGACTAACTAGTAGAATGACTAAAAAAATATATTTTTCACAATTGAGAGATCAAAAAAGTGTACAAAAAAGTTGAAATATGAAAAATGTGCAAAACTCTAAAATTAAGAGACTAAAATTGACATTTAACGAATATTTTCATAAACTTATTTTACTTGTCAAATGATTAGTGATTTACCATAAGATTTATAAAAGAATAAAAGTTTGAACATATTATTTTATGAATACACGTCAATATGAGATTTACAACTTTATCAATTGTGCTGGGTGAGGTCTAATGAGAAAGTTTAGTCTTAGATCTCAACTTTATGGCAAGGATGAATGATGAATGGATTTTCTCAACAATCAGTGATATATACACTCTGATTTTGGGGTCGACCATTCAACGTTTCTTATCTTTCAATATATCAAATCAAACAAATTAATAGAAGATAACTCGCAAATTAAGGAATTATTATCAATTATATTATTTGATAGTGAAGTTATTTATACTCTTAATTATAGGTTTAAGATTTAATTTTTAATCTCTATATATTAAAAAAATTAAAAACTTAAAAAAAGGAAGGTGGGTGGCTTCACAAAATGGGCGGTTAAAGCTCAATATTGATGAGGGAGTGTTTGGAGAAATGGTTGCTCAAGTATGGGGCAGTTTTAAGCAAGGATGGACTTTCTTTACATAGAGACAACCATCCTGAGCAAGGTTATGACCACCAATCAAAATGTTAAAGTTATTAAAAACTATAAAATATTAATTTTATTTAATTTGATTGATAAAAATGGTTAGTAATTACAACTATTAACTAATAATGGATAAAATAGTTGATATTTATTCATTAACAAATTAAAATCAATTAACAAATTGATATTTTTCAGATATTGTTTAAGAAAAAAATTTAAAAAAAGGAGATTTTAATATTTTTTATAATGATAATAACCACACCCAGCTATAACCCTCAAACATTTCAAAATCTCTAAAACTTCATGGGTTTACTTAAAGGTCATTTTTAGTCCCTAAATTTTTAATTTTATACATTTAGTTCTTAAACTATTTTTTGTATATTTTTGCCTCTAAACTATGCAAAATACACTTTTTAGTACTTCCATCTATTAGTCCATTAAGACTATTCATATATTCACATTTCTAATTCTTGAACTACATATCTTATAAATTCAGGAACTAAAAATGTATATATATAGATAGACTTAATATATTAAACTAATGAAATGATTAAAAAGTACATTTTTATAGCTTAGGAATGAAAAAAGTGTAAAAAAATAGTTTAGCTACTAAAAATATTAAGGGTTTTCTCTCCTGTACTCTGAAGACACACGTTAAGGATGCATTTATTCTGTATTATTGTAATTAATTTGCACAAAAAATACAAATATTGATTTTAATTTAATCAATTAATTAATTAAAATTATTCATATAGCACTAGTGTTTATGTAAATTAATTATAAAAAGGTGTATTTATTGCACTTTTAAATAGCATAAGTTAGATAAACCAAAATATTAAAATTAAAAGTTTGAAGACCAAAAATGACATTTAACAAAAAAAAAAAAAAAAAAAACAGTGGACGGAGGTAACAACATTAGCTTTAATATTTTTTTTTTTTTTTTTTTTTGGAACTTAAGTTAAATAGCTTTAATAATTGTTTTGGTGTATGTGAATGCAAAGTATTTCAAATTAATTTACTGACTAACTAATTAACGTTGAGATGATTTGAAGATGGTTATGGAACTTACTATATATCCTACGAGGCTGAGTGGCTGACAAAGTCTAGATGTGGACTGAAAATTGCAACCAACAGGCAACAGGGAATCACTAATCTTTATTCTTGAAATTGATTCCAAGGCTGCAAAAATTTCCCATCGATTCTGCTAATTCGGATTGACACTTATGTGGTTCATTGATTGCTAATTGCAGGTCCCTAATAAAGACGTTTGCTGACTGTATGATTGGCCATATCTATAATGAGACAAATGAGGCAACAGATTTTTTGGCAAAGGTTTGGAATTTCCTCTCCTATTGACTTTGCTTCTTTGGATGAGAACCCTCTGGAGCTCTCTTTTTATGTTGTATTCGGACTCTATCGGAACTGTGTTTTAGCTTTGTTGCTGCCCATTAGCTAATCTATATATTTCTCTTATTTACCAAAGAAAAAAAAAAGGAAAAAGGAAAAAAGAAAAAGTCTTAAGGTTGAGGAAGAATTGAAAGTAACTCACTAACTCTAAATATTAAGGACAAAAAACAATACTTATCACAACCGAAATTGATCCACGACAAATCAGTTAACCATCTGAATGAGCCCAGAAAAAAGTGGATTGGATCTTCTAAGGCCCAAGATCCTAAATCCACAAAAGGGCCGACTTCTCATTTTTAACCGTTCCTCAGCACCTCAATTCAAAACCCTGACTTTTAGTTTGCAAAAGAGTCAACCCCTCCCTTTTTTCCATTCATTTTACCTTTTTTTTTGTCGGCAAACATAAGATTCAACACCTAAACTTCAAGTTTTTCATGCAGAGACATATATCCATGAGATTATAATTATTGTATATACATATCAAGAGATACATAGACTGCCAAGTGTAGCACAGGAAACCATTTACAAAATGTATTTTTGCAACAAATTTAAAATAACTATATAACATTAGCAGAATGAACCATTGGGACTATAAATCAATCATCAACATAATAACCACACAACATTATCCTATCAAGCCATGAACAATTATATAACGCACCTCAACGTCGAAGTCCTAGCGGTTGAATAGCTAGACATCATAGTCTCGGACAGTTTCTATAGTGGGAGCCACAGCAGTTTCCATGCCTATACATAGACACCAACACGGTAAGAAAGCAAGCAGCAGTAAGAGCAATGTTAAACTATGACCTATTGCCTCAAACACCATAGAAATTATTAATTTGGCACAAGTAAATTATCTCAAGATGCAGCAAATGGACCAAGTAGTTCGCATCAACTAGGTGAATAGAGAATTTACAAGCTCCATCATTTTCTTGGCAACCAAACTGAAAAGAATTCAAGCAGTTGATAGATTTAAAGCCTGCCTTCACCAATCTGCAACCATTTCTCGGCAACCAAACGGAAAATAAACTACCTCCTAACAAATATGAGACAAAACAAAATCTATATGCATGAAAAATGCAGCAAATCAAAGCAAAAAACCAGCAACGAACACGGAGCGTGAAGAAAACCTTAGTAAGAGGAGAGCTGA